ATACGTGGAAAGCTCAGCTTGAGAATCAAAGCTTTAGAAACTATCTGTGGTTTCGAGATTAACTCTGATCAGTGTTAGGAGTAGAAATGAAAGTTAACAGAAGGATTAAAACAAGTGTGTAACTATATTCAACTGCAACGCAGCAAGAACCTCACTAATGGTGTATTGGAGCGTGTGGGTTTTGTCCTGGACTATGCGTGTTCTTTACTGCAGTCTGTGCCTCTTCTTCAAGTTGCATATCCTCGTGTGTTGCTTCCGTTTTCATGTCAGACTTTTAATATTGAGTACATATTAATAGAGAAATGCACAATGAAATCTGATAATACGGAAGGGCATCTGACAACGTTCACTTGTTTGTTTGGCTCAGTGAGGAGTATCATTTCCACTTGCATGTTAAATGACTTAGTGAAGGATATTTGGATATGACAGTCTAGCGCTTACCAAGGGAAAAAAGTACTTCTATAACAAAAAAAAAGAAGTTGCTATGAAATAACAGTTAAAACATTTTTAGTGCAATATGTAAAAATTGGTAATTGAAATTATTTTTTAAAGGTTAATTAGAACTGTTAGCAAGTGGAACCCAAGTGCTAATACAGAGTTTAGTTTTTGATGTACTTTACGTTCCTTATCTTACGCGTTTTGGTCAGGGAAAGAATATTCTGGGTTAGCTGACAGACAAACTTTTTTTTCCACCAAAGCTCATGAATGCAGATTTTATTGTCCTGAAAGCAGGTATGACTTTATAAAACGTGTCATTTAGTGATGGTAATATTTTCCTTGTTATGATTTGTATCTCCAGAAGTAACTCAAACGTCAATTCATTTAAAAGGAGAGAGAGAATTTACTAAATTTGCATTGACAAGCACTTCTGTTGGCTTTTTTCCTGGAACTGGGAGTGGCTACTGGGGATGATCTTTGTCCTTGCTGTTTTCCACAGTGAAGCAGAGAGCAGTTCCACTGATCTGTGGATGCAGTGTGGGAAGAACTGGGAATTTCACCTTCGGGGAGCGCATGAATGTTGGTTCCACACAGACATTCATGGGCATGGCCAGAGGAACGCAGATCCCACCTGTACTTGGAGGAATCTCTTCACGCTATTCATTATTGAGTAGCTGGCAAAGGTCACTTCAGTTCTGTGGAGTAACCAAAAAAAGAAACAATGTTAGGTAATAGGAAGAAAGGTTAAAAAGATGCCACTGTATCAATTGGTCATCCTCCCAGATCTTGAGTGTTACATGCAGTTTTGGTGACCTTGCATCTAGAAGATATGGTGAAGGCTAGGAAAGCTTTCACAGTTAGTGTGACGTGGCTTGGATGACTTGATGAGTGTGTATATCACGTATACAATCGTGAGTGTTGTGAAAAAATGAATAGAGCGTGGTTGGCACTTTGGTAGCAGAAGAAAACGTCCAGTTGAATAGAGGCTGGCGTTTTTATAGCCACAGATTTGCACAAAACACAGATAAACTCTCTCCCCTCTCATTTGGGAGGCAAAAATGTATTAATGTGTTTACAATGAAAGCAATTCAACAGGTAAGGATAGAAGCACTGACTGGTAATAAACTATAATACAGAGCCCTGGTGTTATTTGCTCGTTGCACTTTTTTCCCCTGAAGAATTTGTTGTAGGTTGCTGTCAGAGAAGTTAATTGAGATGCTCTGGGTCTCGCCCGTTGTGATTTTTGCGGTGTTACTGTTGTCAGTGGTGTGGTAGGTTATGGAAGTGGTCTGGGGCAGGTTGAAGGTGTTATGTTAGGATTCGGAGTGTGCGTGAGAGGAGACTGCGAACCCTGGCACGTGGGCTAATCCTGGCCACTGAAGAGCTTCAGCAATAGTATCATTTACAACACTTCATCTATCAGCGAGCTTTTGCCTTAGCAAAAAGTATTGCATTTTAATGTCACGTACCTTGTTCTTTTTGTGATATTACGTGCACAGGAAGGCGATGGCTGAGGATAAGTATATGTATGTATATAGTGTAATATATGCCTCTTTCTAAATAAGTAGCCAGCTGCAGGCTGTGTCAGCATGAGCGTGTTGGCAAATAGCCTTTGGTACCCGGCTTGTGCCAGGAAACACAGCTTTGAAAGAGCTCAAGAAGTGACTTTGAATTTACTATCTGAAGTGTGCCTTTCCTACACTGCCTGAAGAGAAGTGGGCAGAGATTAATTTAAGCCTCTTGCTTTAATTTACTGCCACTTCAGTGCAGTAAAGTGCGACACCCACAAGTGAGATTGTTTCAGAATAACGCTTACAGAAGTATCAAAAACTTGTTATAAGGTTTGAGATGATGTGGAGGTCAGTCCTTTAACAAGTGTAAAGTTTTCTGATCAGTAGTGCCTAGTTAATGCTGACTGTGCAAGCAAGATGTTTGCAAGACTTGGTCACCAGCCCAAAATGTCATGACTGGGAGTTGCACTGGACTACATGCACGTTGGAGACTGCTCCCTAACGAACTGCCTTGGTCACTGGTGCGAACAGTGATACCAGAATAGCAGCTTAGGAGACCTGAATCTTCTGCAGAATCTTTTCTAAGTTGACAACGTTTTGCAAAGAGTTTCACCTTGATTTGGATTGTGCTGAAATATAAAAAGATACCTTGCAGCAACACAAGCTTTGCAAACTGTTGATGTGCTTTCCTTTTCGATTTCCCTTTCCAAAGGTACTGGGAACCTCTTTTGGTGAAGTGGAACCTGCGTATTGTACCTCTGTGGTGGTGTTATTTTCGTTGTGTACTCAGACCTAGTCCCTGCTTCAGAGTTCTGATTCTGTGGTGTTCATTGATTTAGATAACCCTTAAATCCAGAGAGCAGTTCTCTGTGGGCTTTGCTCTGGTTAGGTCTGTTTTTCACATCACTGTGAATCATTCTCAAGGTCCATTAAATCAACTTCTTAAGTTATATGACTTCTGTCGATAGTTTGACAGGGCTTAATTGCTATACAGTTTGATATGAAAAGCTTATTTATTCAGAAGTAATGAATCTTGTTAAATACAGTCAAATGCATTGGCTTTGTCCCTGTTTTATCTCCTACTTCCTCCTCACGTGTTTGGTAGCAGCCTCAGAAGGTCACACCTGAAGGAGTTTTGTACCTGTGCTGAATTCAGCATGATGGGAAGACTGTTCTGTCTGCAGTGGATGTTCCAGCATGCCCCTATCCACTGAAGAATTACCCTTTAATATAAACCAGCTCTTGATAGGTTAGCATTTCTGTTGTTGGCAGCGTGTGACACTTTCTAGCTTGCGGTACAGGGTGGGATCCTCGGAAAGCTCCCAGGTCAGTATCATGTGTGGCCGTGTCCACTCTGGTTTTGCCTCACCTTGTCTGATCGTTTGTAGGGGTGGTGAGGCTGCTGCTTGTTACTCTGCTTCCAGAAATGTGATCATGGCTCACAGCTTGGGTGCAAAAATGTTTCCCTCTTTAAACTCCCACACACAACAGTAACATACAGTTCCAGAAAGAAAAGATTATAGGAAAATGAGGAGTTTCATTAAAGGGAATGACCCACAGGATAAAGAGATGCTGATTCTTTTATTAACCCCTCTTTGTCGTTATTCTATCAAGACAGTCTTATTTTATTTTAAAATCCATATACTTAAAGAATGGCAAAACAAGTGCAACAAAAACCAAATCTGATCAAAGAATGGAACCCTATCCAAACAAGGAAACAAACTCAAATGTAAGTCGAAATGTAAAGGCACAATAAGGCACACCTAAAAGGATCCTGAGAAACAGCTGATGGCATCAAAGCAGTAACAAAACTTTTTTCAGATGCTTCAGAAGCAGTAAACCTATCAGTTTGCTTCTGGTGAGGTAAGATGGCTCAGGGGAAAAGAGGCTGTAGCAGAAAAACTCACTTTTTATGGTTGGTATTTTCTGTGGAGGAGTTAATGGAATACCGGGTGTATTGCTGTTGTGAATCTCTTGAGAGAGGGGTCTGGCTGTGTTGGAGCAGGTGAGGAGTGATGTGGGTGCTCAGAGGAGATGAAGCCAAGCCTACCTGCAGTCTGTTTTAGCAGCAGGTCTTAAAATCGCTCTGAAGTGTGGAATCCTTTCATCAGCTGCACGCGGTTTCTCCACTTTTCCCTTTGTTCTGATTCAGCTTGTTTGTATTGCAGTTTTTGTAAACTGAATCTGGGAAGTGATCATTCAGAAGCAAAAATGTCTTTTTCGGGGACCTTTTGTTTTGTGGGGGTTTTTCATGGTGTTTTTTTTAATGAATTTATTTCAGGTTTTGTTTTGATCAGAGACCAAATAGCTGTTGGCACTTGCACTATAGTTGCTCAGTTTCTTCTCTTGTTCTTCTCTCTGGTCATACTTTGTCGTGTTGATGCTCTTGTATTGATGGGCTTTTGTTTGTTTTTTATAGTGACTACAGTTCCTGTCCCACCTCTTGGATGGAAGAGGGCTATGACCCAGAAGTGAACTCTCCACTGTAGAACAAGAACCTCTTGTGGAATAACTGTGTCCCTTTAAAAGCAGCACCCAGTCTACAAAAAATAGAGTAGAAAAGGTTATTTTTGGAGCTGACATTTTTTGCTCATGTGACCTATGTTTCAGCATGTAAATGGTGAAAAACGGGGAGGTAAACATTTGTGCCTGCTTCTGAGCTTTCTGTCAAGTAGTGCTTAGCTCTGTGGAGCGTTAACCAAGTTACGTGAAGACCAGAGTATATCCTAACATTCTTTTTTTTTTTAAAATAATATACCTTTTTTTAGCAGATGTATGTGATAAAAATGAAGTTTATATTTTAAGAGCACTTGGGCAGATGCTTCTTGTTTAGATCTCAGCATTTGAGGCAAACATTTTTACGTAACATCATCCTTTTTCCAGAGCGTTCAGGTTGATCTGCTGCAGATCATGAAGTATCCAGCAGACTTGAGTGTATCTGTTCAGTATTAACCATGGTGTTGCTCTGAATGCTGTCATGCAAGCTTGACAAACCTTTTTGTGATGTAAAGGCTGACTTCTGTCCTACCGCAACCGGAGGAAATTTAATGAGGTGAACGTGGTCGTGGCTTTTTTAAAAAAATTAGTTACCTTCTTAGTTGTTTTTTTTTTAAGTAAGAGTGCAAAAAGAGGTTAAAATGAGCAGCTGAGGGGGTGAAGGGCACAGTTGGCACGAAGTGCGGCCTCTCGTGCTCCACTTCGAGACGCACTGCTGCCTCAAGGCTGGCCTTACAGCGTGGTGGGGAAGGGAGGAACCCAAAGGTCAGTGAAGCACAGAAGCTGAGGACATTGGACTGCAGAGGCCAAACTCAGAGTAAGTGGTCGTATGTATTTATTTCTTTTCTTAGGTAATTTTGGCTTGTTCATAGATAAAGTTGAAAAATAAAGCTGAATGGTAAACTGGAGAACCTTCCGGGTACGTAACAGGTACATTTCAGTTATACAGAGCAACAATGGAATTTTCATCATTTTGAGCAGTGGAAATTGCTGTGACGTGTTGGAAAGAACAGTTTGGTTTCAGATTCCTCAGAGAGTTGCCTCAGCTGGTCTTTAGTTCAACTTCCATTAATATCCTTCAACCGGCTTGCATTCTGTTTCTAGCCATTTGGTTTCTTGGCTATGAAAGCAGTTTTAGCATAGGGTGTTGCCTGGTGCGTGGAAGTTAATGGATCTGGATGCAGTTGTTAAGTTGGGGGTGCAGGAGCTGCCATTTGGTTGGCTTTCAGGTCTCTGATCTGCCCTTAATGTCTAACATCATTGGTTTGGTCATATTTGATTTACAGCCTCCGGAATAAAACGTGCAGGGATCACCCCTTTGTAGCCTATGAGGCAATGAGCAAGGAAGGAGCGTACTCCAAATTCTGTCATGTCCCGGTTTTACACATTGTGCGTTGTATGGCGTTTCTATGCTGTTTGTTCTGTTTTCTCCCCACCTCCACACCCATCTTATCGTGAATTTCATGGGTGTGTTAATTGTAAACAGGAAGTAACTGGGAATGTTTTAAGTTCTTACCTGTTTTGGTCAGAGGAACAAAGTCAGCAAAAAGAAATGCTTAAGTATAATATGAAAATCCACAGCACTTTTCCCCTCCTATTTGTAGAGGCCAAGCTTTGGGAAATAAATTGTATGATTATTTCACTTTGGAAAATATGACAGCTGGGGAATGTTCTTTTCATTTACAGATCCTGGCCATGAGGTTTGATGCCTCATTTTATTGAAGGGAGACACTGGACCTAAATGGCGCAGCATGACTTTGTTCCTGCCTGGCTTAACTTCTCAACACCACAGTCAACCAAGGTAACTAACGCAGATCACCTGTGCCTGGCAAAAAATTGCCCCAGTGTTTTGTTGAACTTAAAATGTTTAGTTTTAACTTGTTTTGTAGTTTTAAAGGCGGCTTTTGGAAACTTACTAGGTGAAAGTAATTTTTGTTGCCCTTGTTGCAACAAAGGTATCTCTTTTATTTCAGAGGAGGAGCAGTCTTTGTGTTTAGACACAGAAGTAGTTCAGTGTCTGCATTGAGTGGAATCCCAGATAGAAAATCATTAAAGAAATGGCCCTAAATCTGTGGGAGTTAAGACTTCAACCTCCACTTACTTACAATTCAGGATATTATTTGGGTTTGATTTATGAAAATAATCTGACCCTTGCTGAGTAGTATATTGGTGATAAGCCCTTGGGCTCTAACTCCAGACTCAGAAATACCCATTAGGTGTGTGTGTTTGTTTGTTTGTTTGTTTGCAGCCTTAAAATGAGGGCAGTTTTGTGTTCACCACCTTTCTAGAACTGATTTCAGAAGCAGCTTAGGTTGACCCAGGAAATCTGTTTTAAGACTATAATAGTTTGCATTGCTTGTGCACGGCTGTGGAGAAAAACATTTTAATAGCGAACCAGATCATGATGGACAACCCTGATCAACGAGAAAGAATACCGCTTTCACCTTCATGCTTAAATATGAGGACACAAAAGTAATTTCAGGTTACTTGATCCATTTAAAAACAAACCTCTCTCTTTTTTTTCTAAATGAGGCAAAGTAGAGAGTAAAACACTTTTTGGATTTTTAATGCTAGAAGCATTAATGTTTTCTACAGCATCATAGTTGTTTCAGTCCAAAGTTCTTTAACTTACTCAAGTATCTCTGAATTTTAGTCAGACTGATTTGATCCTCCACTGCTGTCTGCTCTTGTCTTTAGAGGGAGTGAATGAATGAACACCTGTATATCATAGAATTTGTTAAATGAATTTTGCAGAAAGTATGTGTTTCCAAAGACTGCTGGTAAGATCAGCGTGTGAGGTTCTTTCTGATTCTGTCAAAGATATGTGGATTTGTGTGCCGTTCTGACCAGGTTCGTGTGGTTGCTGACATTGCTGGCTAAGCAATGCAGATATGGATGCTGTACTGAAAACTAGTACAGGCACGTGGGGTTTGGTTCCTTTTCAACAAACAAAGTGTCACCGTTGGACCGACAGTCTCCTTGAGTGCCCTAACAAATGCTTCACGACATCACTTTTTACTTTCTGCAGTCCCCAGCAGCAACCTTTGAGAAACATGGAGAGCATCTTCCACGGGGAGAGGGCCGCTTTGGGGTGAGCCGCCGGAGACACAACTCTTCAGATGGATTTTTCAATAATGGGCCCCTCCGAACCGCAGGAGGTGAGTAAAAAGGATCAGAAGGCAGCCTGGGAGCAAGCATTTTGGAATATTCTACAGAATGAAGAATTCTGCAGAATATAAACAACATTTTTCCAAAACTGTACCTTCTCAAAACATCCTGTAAGAAACCTGTTTTGCTCTCTTCTCCCGTGCTGTGTGCTCAGGCCTCAGAGTTTTTATGGTAGCTGTATGTGCAGTGTGTAGCTTGGTTTGTTTTCTGCTATAATCACACAGCAGCTTAATAAGCTTGGCCTAGCAGTTACTTAGTGAACACTGACTTAACAAGAAAAACAGCCTGATATTTCCAGTATTCTGCATGCTGTGTTGACTTTTTTATTTGCATACTTATCTCCTTTTGTTTAGACTGCTGGCATCAGCCGTCCCTTCTCCGCCATGATTCTGTAGATTCTGGTGTTTCTAAAGGAGCTCATGTTGGGCTTTCTGGCAGTCAGCCTGGCTGGCATGGTCCCTCACGGGGCCATGATGGTGTGAATCAGCGTGGTGGAGGAGGAACTGGAGTCCATCGCCACTGGAATGGCAACTTCCATTCTCGGAAAAGTTCCGCCTTTCAAGAAAAGCTGCCTGTTGAATCCAGGGAAGAGAAGAAGGAAGATAAAGAGCAGTTGCAATTTGAAGAAGAAGACTTTGTAAGTGTGTAGCTTCTCACTGGAAGTGGCAGCTGTGAGAAGTGGCTTTTCAGATCTCATTTTTATTAGCACTGATAGGTGGCGAGGATCTAGAGTTGCATTCCATTCCGTGTTTGAGATCACAGCAGATTTAACAATTATTCCAATGCTGACAGGATGCTAAAGGGTACCTGAAGTCCTCAGGACTTGATGACCTGTTTGATTGTGGGGTTTGGCACATGTATTTTGCCAAATGGTTATTATGAACTGAACACAGCATTGTATCACACAGGCGAGATCTTCAGCAAACCCCGTAAGGTGACGCTTTGGTCTGCACAGGAGGAGTAGTTGTATTGACTTTGTGGCTTTGCTTACAAAGCCTTATTTTTTTTTCTGCTCCTAAGTACATCTGTTCAGCTTATCTTCAGTCTGCCTGCTGTTCCTGTCTACTGCATTCTGGTGCATGTTGCTATTTGTGATAACCTTTCCAAGCTCGTTCATGACATGCTCAGATCCTTGCAACTGTCTGTTGTGAGTCTTCTGGAATAGTATTTTGTTGTCAGAGGTGTTTTCTTATCTCTGTTCATCTGTGGATCGGGGTTTCTTTAGCCATTTCTTCCATCAGTATCTTAAATTAGTCAACTTTCTCCTTATCCAGCATTCTGATTCATGTGGTATTACCAGTATGATTGTCTCTTACATCCTGGCTCTATTTTTCCTGGAATATATTTAGTTGTCCAAGCTTCACCAAATAGTACATGGACTTAGGGCTTTCATCCATACCATGTACATTCCTTAATGCTATTGCTTTGAGATATACACACCTTTTCTGCTTTCTCTTTCCAATTTAATTTTTTTTCTCCTGTCCTCTGAAGAGGATTCTACTGTTATTGGACCATATATTTTACTTTTTGCTTCTCATTTCTTGCTATCTTTAGGCTCTTCTTGACTAGTGTGATGAGGTCAATATCGTCTGTAAGGTTCTGGTAACTCAGTCCTTTCACCTAATGCAGTTCCTCTGACTTCATCTTCAGTACTAAAGCCATTGCTGCCCCCAGTAATAAGAGTTGCTGGTGATAGTGTGCACACTTGTGTGTTTCATCATCTTGAGCTTTTTGCTCTTACTCAGCATTTCTCTCTGGAAGGCTGTTTACAGCTGACATTGTCGTGGCAGTTTGATGACACTGCTGCTATTCAGGAAGTTAGGAGCTGGAGAGAAATATATGAATACCCACAGCTGCTTCAGGGCAGAATCCAGAGTCTACACTTAAATTGCCCCAGGAGCCAGTTTGATTGAAGCTGCTGGGTTTTTTCAGGGAAGTGCCCAGGGAGTGTTGCATGCTCTTGTTCAGCTGCTGCTGCTGGGAGTGGTAGCCTGCACACAGGGTGGTTAACACCTGGAGAGCAGCGATAAAGTTTGTGTGTGGATTGCTCTTAATCTGATTTCTCAAGAATACTTTAATTCAGGGTTCCTATAAGCCTGTTCTTTAGACTACCAAAAACCTGTTGAAATGTAGAGTTACTGTAACAATCGTGGCTGCACTGTTGTACACTCTCTTGGTCTAAATTTTTTTCCATGTACCACTCATTCTCTTCTTCAATGCCTTGATGAGTGCCTTTCCCCATCTACATGGCTCTTTCTTCTGAAATTACTTTTCCCCTTTTTTTTAAGATTAAAATACCACACACTGTGTAGCAGCAAGCTTTCCTAAGTAACTCCTGTACTGTCTTTGCCATAGCGATGAAACTAATGTGTACTGTGGTTAAGTATGTAGCTGTTAGGTCTGTGTGGCTGATGATGGCAACACTTTTCCTTAAAGGTCTGCAAATTAGGCTGTTAGTCTAAGTTCTCCTGTGATGTGAGCACCCCGCTGTAAAACTGACCTGTAACTGAAAAATTAAGCACTGAAACAGAGGAATTTCTAGGGTCTGAGGCAGGAATTTATGCTATGGTGTGACATTTTTTTACTAACTTATAGAACAGGAAT